GGCAACCGCTCAAAGTTAGCACCATAATTCGATTAATACATTCTGATCGCCACTTCTTGTGTTTTCACCTCGTTCAGTGGCCTATGGGTGGTCGGGTCGATTCCCTTCTGTCGCAGTTTCTTCTTGAGGTATGAGTTCCAGAAGTTCTAAAGAGACTATAACAATTACATGAAACATAAATTCACCCAACAGCATAACATGAAGAGGATGATCTCGTTGTATGTTCTTGATCTCGTTGTCTGTTCTTCCCGTCAACTGTGATGCAATTTTGGAGTACCTGCAGCCACAGAACATGAGAAAGGTTGACGATATGTGTTGCTCACTGAAACTCTTCATGCTTAGCTGCTACCTGTTGCCCAGAATTCCATGTAGACCTAAGATCTCTCAATGAGATCCTCCTCTGCTTGAAAGCAAAATATAGCATCAGTAGTGGCCTCATGTGTTGGGCTGACATCCCATATTCAGCCCAATGTGGGTTTTATCAGAACAGCAACTTCCAAGGCCATAGAAAATACTTCGAATGGTGAAATCCATTATGCAAGCATGAGCAAGTCTTCATGGCCATTCTTTTCGCATAGGTTGGCTGATGGCTGCTATTTCCCATAGGATGACATGAGCTTGAGATGCTTAGTGATTCTTCAAGTCATTCTTCGCCATTTGCACTTTGGTTCCTTCAGCTTTACTACCACCTGCACATAGATCCAATCACAAGTCCTGTCGATCAACTGGAACAGAGCAATCCTGATGCCATGTCTCAGATGTTATCTTTAAACAATAACCTTATTTCTGGACAACACCAAATGGTCATTCATGAAATAAAACACTAGAACATATAAATACATGAAGTCTACATAGACAGTCTTAGCACTTAGCCACAGTTTCAATTGATTCTTCGTCATTATTTTGGGCTTCAGCTTTCAGCTGCACATATCTGCATGCAGCCATAGATGTTGTCATTTTGTTGGAAGAGAGAAATCCTTAAGCCTTGCTTCACGATCACTACGCCGATAGAAACCCCAGAAACAACTATGAATCCCACGACAACGCTAGTAACATCTAATATTATTGTTTCAAGCATATCTCCATCATCATCTTCTTCTAGTTTGACTCCTGCATCAGCTGAACTGGTGGCAATCTGCTTTTTATTATAGAAACCCCAAAATAGCAGCAAATCGGGAACTTATATAAAGCATTCTGGTAACACCTAAAACAAAGTTCTGCGAGTCCTGCAAAATATGATTTCCAGGAAAAAGGAACAAAAAATATATATATGCTCTCATGTTATGAATATTGAAACAAACTCATATAAAATAAAATGTTGATTAACGAAAAAAACTCAATCAAGAAACATAAAATATCTCTCTTAAGATAATTATATATCCAAAAGGTCTCAAGATTTAGCACCCAAATGATAGGAATAAGCCATAGATTTTTTTTTCTATCGTAAGGACAATAACAGAAGAACACAACCTCCACTCTCAAACATTGATTAAATATAGGTATATTAACTATTTCCTTAGCAAACAGAGTATGTATGGCATACACTCTTGCAATTAATCTTTTAGTTGTCAGATACGTATCGATCGATAAACGAACGCCAGGCGATAGCAAAATGATGATAGATGGAGATGTTATGATACTAGAACTAATACATGTAATGCATACAGAGAATCGATGATGGTTATTTCAGCTTAATCATGACAGCATAATATGATAACATCATTACATGCTAACACAAGATTTTGATGCGACTAACTACGAAGTACAACATGACATTAAGGTCTAATAGAAGAGGTGGCACACTCGAGCGCTTACCCACAGTTCATGTCATCGTTCGCCATTTGGATTTGAGCTTCGCAAGCTTTACTGCAAACTGAACATAGACCCAATCGCTAGCCTTGTCGATCCATCGAAAGAAAGCGAATCTGATGGCCTGCTTCATGACGAGCGTGCCAATAAACAGCCAAAAGCCAACCACAAATCCGATCACAATACTGGTGTACTCCAATAATTTGTCGAGCTTCTCATCATCTTCATGTTTAACCCTGGCGTCAGGTGGAGTTTGATAAACAGGGCAATCTGCCAGTGGCGTACCACAAAGGTCTTTATTACCCACATATGTCGAAGAGTCAAAGGTCGACAATTGACCACTCGTTGGTATTTTTCCTGATAAGTTGTTGTAAGACAGATTCAAATGAGCCAGGAAATACATAGCAGAAAAGCTTGAAGGTATCTCTCCGGTGAGACTGTTCTCTGATAAGTCAAGCGATTCAAGCTGTTTCATGTCACCGATGTTTTCTGGAATCATCCCCGTCAAATGATTGTTGGATAAGTTTAGGAAGCGCAATCCGAGAAGCTTTGTTAGTTCTTTTGGGATTTCACCAGAGAGATGATTATTTGATAAGTCTATGCATGTCACCAGCGAGAGAATGGTTGTGTATTCAACCATTGATCCTTTTGTTGCTATTAAGATGCTCTCGCCATAATAATAGTCGTAGATTCGAAGCACTGACTTGGTATCATTCTGTATCTCAACCATGGCACTGAAATTTCCTAGAGATGATGGTAGACTACCAAACAGATTGTTGGAAGAAAGATCCAAAACTTGAAGAGAAGTGAGATTTGCTATATTCACTGGGATGGTACCGTATAATAAGTTTGACCTTAGACTAAGAACTTTCAAGGATAAAAGGTTTTTTCCTATCCATGTTGGTAGTTTCCCAGATAATTTATTATCACCGATATCAAGGGTAATTAAGTGTTTACAATATTTCAAGAAGGAAGGAAGTGGCCCAAACAGATTATTATTATTCAAATGTAAAGATTGTAGAGAGGTAGGGAATGAGTCATGACAATCTGGTATTTCTCCAATTAAGTGATTGTTGGATAGGTCAAGGACTTGAAGTGATTGCATGTTGCAAAAAAAGGGAGGGAAACCACCATTGATATGATTATGAGATAAAGATAATAGAGAGAGGTTTGTAGCTTTTGCAAAGCTTTGGGGAATAGGTCCCACAAATGAGTTATTGGAGAGATCCAAAATCAATCGGGGAGCAGAAGGTAATCGACCTTGCAAATTATTGGATCTCATGTTAAGATTATAGAGACCTCTTGAGAAATTCAAAAACCAAATCGGGATATTGCCCGAGAGTCCAACTCCATATAAATGAAGGCTTGTTAATTGCGTCTGAGTTTGAAGCCAAGCAGGTAATTTTGCTCCTATATGACAAAGGCTCATGCCAATATAACTGGCATTAAAAGGAGGATGCCAATCATTTGGTAGGATTACGTTCAAAGAGTTGAAAGATATTGTAAATCCTAATAAGTTTGTGAGATTAGAAAAGTGTGCTTCGGTGATATTACCTACCAGTGAGTTTGAGGAGAGGTATAGATCTCGTAATTGAGATATTCGACCCATACTTGAAGGCATAGTACCGTTTAAATGATTGCGCTGCATATATAAAGACAGTAAAGATATCCGTTGTGCACAGACAGAGAAACCATCGAATAGATTGGTTAGCTCCCCACTAATATTGTTATGAGACAAATCTAGTACGGTCAAGTTGCATAGACCACCCATTGTTCTCGGTATCTGACCTGATAAATTGTTATTTGATATGTCCAAGTACTCCAAGCTATGGAGTCTTCCAATCGTATTAGGTATTTGCCCAATAATAGAGTTACCTCCTAAATGTAACTCATGTAGATTTTGGAGAACCCCAATGGTTGCTGGTATTTCTCCAGAAACTTGGTTATGATCGAGATATAAAACCTCCATATGAATGAGAGCACCAATAGTTTCTGGAATACTTCCGACAATATTGTTAAATGATAAATCTAAGAATACCAGGTTGGTAAGGTTGCCTATGCTCGGTGGTATCTCTCCGGTGATCAAATTGCGCCTCAAGTATAAGTATCGCAAGCTCATTAGATTCCCCGGCACAGCTGGGATATGTCCCGTGACATTGGCATTCCGTGATAAGTCAAGATACTCCAGGTGTCTAAGGTTCCATAGAGTTTGTGGAATATCTCCGGATAAATAATTCCTGCTCAAGTCTAGCTGCTTCAAGCCCCTGCTACTGACATTGTTTAGAATTCCAAGAATTTCTCCTTTAAGGAAATTATGTGACAAATCCAATTCCTTCAGATTACTGAGAGCTCCTAGAGCAACTTGTAGCGACTCGATAGTGAGACTCTTACAGCCAGAAAGGAGGAGGTACTCGAGGCTGGTGGCATTAGAAAGCCATCTTAGCATAGCAGACGTGATGTTGGAATTCCGAGACAGATCCAACGTAGCGATGGTTGTCAGATTAAAAGTGGGCAAAGGAGATGGAACATATGGCAAGTCTGCATTCTTCAAATGCAACACTTCTAGTGTGGGGATCGAATTGATTATGCACAACCAATTGGTTGCCTTGGAGAGGTCGACCAAACTCATGTCAAGATATTTTAGAGAAGGAATATGGGAGAGCCAATCGAGATCATTAACGTGTAGATGATCATCATACCATCCTCGAAGGTCGAGGTAGTGTAGGTTGGAGAGGTTCCCGAACTGAGGAGGAATTAGTCCATCGAGCATGGCATATGATAGGTTGAGATATTTCAAGTGGACTAGCGAAGCGATCATTTTAGGCACAGGGGCATGGGAGAAGTTATTCATGCTCAAATCCAAATACTTCAAATGCTTCAGTTCTTGCAGCGAAGGATTTACCTTGCTCCCACCCATTGTTTCCATGATGTCTGAGATATCCCACTTATCGTATGTGTAGGGGTAGTGGAGGTCGAGCTTGGTGACATGGCCGGTGGTGTGGTCGCAGGCCACGCCTCTCCACCCACAGCAGTCTTCGCCGGTCCAAGAAGAGAACCAGTCGTCAGGGTCGTACATATCGGATTTGATGGCGAGGAGAGCTCTCCTCTCGCTCTCC